AGGTAGTGAAGACTACTGATAAATCCCAGTTGTTTAATCTCATTGCCTCCGTTCATCACAACTTCCAAAACTCAGCCGAGGTAACCTTGAATTAACCCTATCTTTTTTCGCTGCATTGTCTCAACTCTGAGTACTCTTCACAGTTGCTGAAGTGTTGCTTTGTACTCTTCCACAGCAGATGAACGTAGCATCCTTTCATGCCACCTTCCCCCAGCTGCCTAGTATAACGCATTGTGTGTACAGTAGGCATTCAGTAGAAGATGTTGATTGGCAAGGAAAGCAACTATGCAGTTTTTCCAGGAAAAAAAGGCAGTTGTAAAAAATCTTGAAAATAAGGAAACGGTGATCTTAAAAAGTTGATATAGTGTCAGCATTGTAACAATTTGGAGAGCTTTTCTTAAAAAACAAAACATCGCCCTGGCCAGTTTTGCTCAGCAGTTAGAGCGTCAGTCCACGGACCAGAGAGACCCGGGTTCGGTTCCCGCTAAGGGCATGTACCTCAGTTGCAGTTTATCCCCGGTCCCAGTTGGGATTGTGTGGGTGGCAGCCAGTCAATGTCTCTCTCACATCGATGTTTCTCTCTCTCTCTCTCTCCCCCTACTTCTCTCATTCCCACTCTATCTGAAGATAAACGCAAAAATGTCCTCAGGTGAGGATAAAACAAAAAACATCCCTTTGTATTACTTTTTCACTTTTTTCACAATCATATTTTTAAAGAGGCATGGGAAGACCAAATCTTTTTAGTTATGCATTTTTTTTTAACCACAAGGTGGAGGGTGACAGAATGCTCCCAGGAGAGAGATTGCTGGGCTAGAGAGAAAAGAAATGATGAGAGTTCTATTCCCAGTTAAAACAAGCTTCACGTTTTAGTCCTGCAGTCCTGCACAGTTTCGTGAGACACCCACTGTGCATACAAATACTATGCTTTAGTGTTGACAGATCTTTGATCAATTAGGAAATTTATTAACTTTGACCTAAGTTAATTACTAGTAAGAAGTCTGGAAATCTTTCGTGAATATGTAGAAAGGTGTAGACATTCTGTAAACTGGTGCTTCCTTTTTTTTCATCCTCACCCAAGGACATTTTTGCATTTATCTTCAGATAGAGCGGGAGGGAGAGAGGGGAAAGAGAGAGAGAAACATTGATGTGAGAGAGACACATCGAGTGGCTGCCACCCACACGACCCCAACCGGGGCCTCGGACAAACTGCAGTGGAGGTACATGCCCTTACGGGGAACTGAACCTGGGTCTCTATGGTCTGCAGGCCGACGCTCTAACTGCTGAGCCAAACCGGCTAGTGCTTCCTTTTAAATTTGGAGTTCCATTCTTTAAATAAGTTGCTTTTCATTATAAAACTGGTAAATAGAAATTTTCAAAAAAATGAACTAACTAATCACTTGTTTATACTTCATTTTGTTACCTTTCCCCCTATGTTTAATATTTTAAAATTTAGTTGATTTAAAAATTGTACCTTTTTAAAAAAATGGATGCTCTGAGTTACAAATTTAAATATCAAAGTCTGTCTAAATTATATCAGGATATTTCTGCAAATGAATTCGCTTTTGAAAATAGAAAAATGGTTCCCAATTTATTATTTATTTATTTATTTATATATATATTTTTATCCTCACCCGAGGACATTTTTCCATTTTTTGTTCAGATAGAGCAGGAGGGAGAGAGAGAGAGAGAGAGAGAAACATCGATGCGAAAGGGACACATCGAGTGGCTGCCACCCGCACAACCCAACCAGGGCCGGAGACAAACTGCAACCGAGGCACGTGCCCTTAGCGGGAACCGAACCCGGGTCTCTCTGGACCGCAGGCCGACGCTCTAACCGCTGAGCCAAACTGGCCAGGGCCCAATTTATTTTTTAAATTGAAATAGTTATCATTTTTAGAAATTGGTGCCTATAAATTAGCTGTTTCCTACTTGGCCTTTTCTCATTTAAACTTAGTTTTTTCAGTATGTTTCAGAGGGCAGACATACACTTGAGCACAACTTCTCTGTGACTAGAAATTTAGTATCAGGTTGCATCAACAAAGGGTAAGGGCTATTTTCCAATTCTTGTAGGAGGCAAATTATAAGTATGCTCTGTGTTTCAAAAGCACTTTATTATTTAGGACATTTATTTATTTAGCAATTAGGACTAAAGACTTCTCCCTATATCAACATTTCCCAAAATATGTTTAGAAATCTAGGTAGGTAAGTTCAAAGGGATGGTGCTAGGTGACTAGGCTAAATTATTTAAGAAAATGGTTCCATGGCTAAGTATGGTTGAGAAATGCCATTTCTTTGTTGCATGATTTCTTAAACCCTTTAACTGCACTCATGTGCACTGTGAAAGTTTTTGTTTTTGTTTTACCGGAAGGCACAGTTTTCACTTTCTACTCCCATGGTACAAATTAATTTGGAATACAACATTAGTATAAGTATATATCATAAACTTATGAAAGAACTATCTGGGCTTTGAAGAGTTATTGCAATATTGACTCATAAAAGGTCCTTAAATGTGGTCTTTCTCAGGCTTTATTCAGTGGTAATTCGTTCTCTAGCCTGTGGACTTAGCTGCACTTGCATAAATATTTTTTTTCAAGGTAATGTAATGGAAAGAAACATCATTCATCATTTACATGAATATTAATTTATTGAGAATAAGAAACATTCTAGATTTACTGAGTTCAGAGGTAGTCACGGCCAATACCCAGTAAAACTTTACAGTCTTAATTTGTGCACTTAAAGTTCTTAATTAGAAAGTCACTGAGAAAACTTTGAAAATCATCGTGAAACATCTATAAAAGGCTGTAGATAGTTCATATGCTAAAGCGTGATAAAACAGTTTGAAGTTTCTTTCCCCAAACTTCCGTTTTAGGTGTTAACTTTTTTTTTCTCTTTAACCATTTTCTCCCTCTCTCTCCATCTAAAGTCACAAGATATAAGGAATCTGTCATAAAATAGACATTAACTGTATTTTCACTGTGTACAATAAGAATCAGACTTCTCAGCAACTTATCCTGGTGCCATGAGACTGTATGCTATACTCATTTTTTTGGATTCCATAGGAAAAGATATTTCCAATCAAGTGTCAGACATTTTTACTTTCTAAGGGTATAATGTGTAAACGTGCTTCTGAAACCAAACCTTGAGTACATCCAACAGCTCTAATGTGCATGTGATAGATGCAGCACCAAAATCAACACGCAGGGATTTAACTTTTTTTTTATCCTCACCCAAGGACGTTTTTCCTTTTTTTTTTTCACATAGAGTGGGAGGGAGAGAGAAACATCAACATGAAAGGGACACATCAAGTGGCTGCCTCCCACACGGCCCTGACCCAACTGGGGCCGAGGACAAACTGCAACCGAGGTACGTGCCCTCGGCGGGAACCGAACCCGGGTCTCTCTGGACCGCAGGCCGACGCTCTAACCGCTGAGCCAAACCGGCCAGGGCAGATTTAACATTTCTTTACAATCCTCCCCACCACTTAGATTCGCTCATGGTTACATAATTCGAGTAGGCACGTCAGAAAAATTGTCACTTCATGAAAGTTTCCTTAAATATAATTAAATGATCATTCTAGCTAACTAATGTTTCATTTCAGTTTTCAGACCAATATCTGAGGCGAAAGGTTGGTCCTGAAGGTTACACTACCTTTAAAATATTTACCACCTGTTAATTACCCTTCTTCCGCCTGGCACACCCCAGCAGCACCGGCGTGGCTCTCACACCACCGTGTCTGACAGTCACAGACTCAGTCACGAGAGGCCTTCATGGTACACGTAAGGAACCATGGTACACGCTCTCTTTTCTTCTGTCTTAAAAACCTTTACCATATTGGTTTCTCTATAAAGAAGATATACCTTAACTCAGAACCTGAGAAACATACGGAGGTGGGGAGCAGCAGCACAGGTGCTGTGCAGGCAGATGCGGGGGTCTGGTCGCGGTTGTTTCTCCTCTTTGGACTTCACTGGGTTAGTGGAGGCTGGAGCTGGACTTACCAAACCCTTGCTGCAAGCTGTGGGGCACAGGGCCACTGCCGAAAACACGGACCCCAAACCCTTGCTGCAAGCTGTGGGGCACAGGGCCACTGCCGAAAACACGGACCCCAAACCCTTGCTGCAAGCTGTGGGGCACAGGGCCACTGCCGAAAACACGGACCCCAAACCCTTGCTGCAAGCTGTGGGGCACAGGGCCACTGCCGAAAACACGGACCCCAAACCCTTGCTGCAAGCTGTGGGGCACAGGGCCACTGCCGAAAACACAGACCCCAAACCTACTCCGAATTAAATTCAGGTTTGGTGTAGGGTTTGGAGATTATTTTAATTGTTTTGCTCATCTCTAATTTTGCTTCTGATAAAATTTCTGATTTTAAAAACATTTCTTTAACATGGTGGCTCATGAGCCAATTCAGATTTTGGTTCATGATTCTTCAAAAATTGCCACCTTATAATTTTATTAACCAATGTCACCCCAATAAATTAAAAATTAACAATAAAAGAACAAAAAATAAGATTAAAAAAAAGGAAAACAATTTCTATCTTGGAAAAGGAAAAATATACTCAGAATGCCTGATTGAAAAATTGTTTTGGGCTTAATGGTAAATCAAGCCAAATTTCATATACTTTTATATGTAATATACCAAATCATTTTCTGCAACATATTAACATATACTTTCAAGAATAATAAATTATGGTTTATTTAAACAAAAGTGATCAAAATATTTAGGTTAATACTAGATTTAAAAGAAGTGATTAAAAGATTATACATTTTGTTTATATTAAACATGTATGAATTTGTGCAAGTAGAATAAGCTTGGCACAAGAATGGTTCCTAAATGCCCACGTTATCTCCTATTCACGTGTGGTTCTCAGGCATTCACCATGTGCCAAGTCCAGGATGGTTTCATTTTCTGTTTGATACTTCCCCTTAATTCTTACATATAATGTTTTACGTTAGGTTAACTCTCAGTATAGTGGAGAATAATTGTTTTATATTGAGTACTAATGGTTAAAAATAAAGGTAGCTGTTAAGAGCTAACATGCCTTTACTATGAATCTTAGGATGAATGCAAAGTCTAGTAAAAGCACCATATTTGAATTTATTTCTTGATACATATATGAAAACACTCTTCTGTCAGTGTTACTAGTGAGCCAGAAATGTCCAAAGCATGAGGTCTAGTTTCATGAAATGACTCAAAGCCCTAGACAGTTTCTGGGGGAGACTGGAAGTAGCAGATTGCTGGAGCCCTTTGTTCCTTCATTCCGTTCCTAATATGTTCTCTGAGGACATAAAAAATGCATTTTTCAAACAAATTAAATAGCCTCTGGTCTCAAAGAGCTCATGCTCTACTAGAGAAGTCACCCAGGGAAGTAGAAGATCTTAATACAGTGCTGTAAATCCAGTAACACAGGGAACCTGCTTCTTTTGGGGAGCCAAGAGGAAGGGCCCAGGCTGACTGGGAGGGGCCAATGGGAAGGAATGGGGTAATGGTCAGCAAAGGCTTCCTGCAGGGGTTGATGCCGGAACTGAGTTTTCAAGGAAGAGGGAGAAAGAAAATGTGGGTCAGGGTGGCATTCCAGCACAGGACACAAACAGGACATCAGGTGTGTAGGAGTGACAGGCAGTAGGTTGTTGCTTTTTGTTTCGAAGAGACCCCTTCCCCAGTGCTGTGTGGAGGAGGGATCTGCAGAGGAGGAAGGTGGGAGCGAGAGACCTGGCAGAGCTGTTGCAGTGGCAGGTGAGCTGTGATGGCCTAAACCTGGTGGTGTTAGCAGCCATGGAGGGAGGGTAGAATCAATCAGCATTTATAGTTAACATCAGTCTTCAGTGACTGACTGAATATGTTGGAGGAAGGATGAGGAGGGAGTGTCAAGGACAACTCCCAGGTTTCTAGTGTGGTGGTACCAGTCACTGAGACCAGAACAGAGGAGAAAGAAGATCTAGGGGGATACGTATGTTCAGTCTTCAACATGAGTTAGAGGTACCTCTTCGTCTCGTCCAGGTGGATGCATATCCAGTGGGCAATTGGGTGTGAGTCTGTAGCTCAGACAAGAAGCTGGGATTACACTTTGGGGGTTATCAGCATGACAGAGGACTGTGGCATCCAGGTACAGAAAGGCAGGGACACTTAATTGACCCATTATTTTGGGACTCTGTAGGCACCACCTAGTCATCCCATTAGGCCCATATTTTCTTGGGCCACTGAGGCATGGTTGCCTATTTTCTCTATTTCCTTAGAACATCTGCAAAGCTAAATATTCCCAATCCTGTCATCGTTTTCCCCTGCCCTGAGAACTGACTGTACATGGCACTCTCTCTTCATATATAGCACTCGTAGCAAGGTCTGTATATAATAGGTGATCAACAGATGTTCATGTTCATTGCTTATATTCATCTGGCTCTCTGTTTACAGAATTAGCTTCCTTTTTTTCTTGCAGAAACTTCTTGTTTTGCTTCTCAAGTTTAACTTCTTACAAATTTCTAAGACTACTTTAAAATGAAGTGGAAGTGGGCAGTACTCGATAGGTGGGTGTCTTCCATTCATCATCAAGACTTAATTATTCCTTTCATTACCACCACACATTGCTCGTTGCAGGACTTGGAAACAACCATTTATCTTCTTAGGGAAGGACGGTGGAGTGTGTCCAGTTATCCCACAGAGGGAGTTAGATTTGCAGTAACCTGGCATGAGTAATCCCTGATTCCAGATGGTGATGGGGTTGAGTTTCACATTTTGCTTTATTTGAGCAATATGTGAAAAAGAGTCACTAAAAATAAAAACAGACTAGGCTTTGTTGCAGCTGAGTGGCTTGGCAAAGTACTGTATAGAGGAATCATAGGGCATGGAGGATTTGATACTAGGATAGAATCCAATTTCCCTCGGAGTGGAAATAAAATATCCTTTTTAAGAGCACTGAAGTCCTGGGATTTTTTTGGAATAATCACCTTTGTGAGGTGTGGCTCATGTCCAGGGACTGTAACCTGAGAAGAAACAAGAAACAATTATCTGAATGACTTCAGATGTTTTGTGGTGCCAACACTGCAAACACAAATATCCATCACTAAAATGCAGCCTTTATGAAACGCATGTAACAATCTGCCAGGCCTCGCGGGCCAGTAACCACTCGGTTCAGCTCATTGAAAGAGTTATCCAGTGTCTGTTGATAGGGACCATAGTTGTTAATGCTGTTGCCAAGAATTACAAAATGAAAGAAAGACAGGTCCTTTATCTGAGATGTATAAGTCAGGAGAAGGACACAATAGACGGATCCTGCCCCATCATTTTCATGGAGAGTCAAGGTAAAGAGCTGACTGTTTCCCTTGTCCCAAGTCTGTACTTAATATCCTGATTGCGTATCAAGATTATTTATAAGTGGGATTCTTTTCTCAGTTTATTCCACTTTCCTTGCAGCTGACCTAAGAGTACAAGTTTATTGCTTCCTTAAAAAACTTAGATTTTACTTGGTTTTGTTCATATGAATCTGACTCTTCAGCTCGATTTTTGTTGTGGGAAATCATGAGGAAAAACAGGACAAATGCTAAACTAATTATATCTCATGTCCACTGAGAAATGTTTTTATTAGATATGGTGAAGAGAGGAAAGAATGGTGAATAACATTAACATCACAATTCATTGGTATGTATTTCAGCTTCCAAAGTCTTGCCTTCCAATCTTGTCCTAGAACTAGTAGCTAAAGCAAACATGTACTGTGTTAGCCTAATTGGAAATGAACTATTCAAAACTATTCTATAAAGGTGTGGCTTATTTATGGGATAACATAAAAATAATTTAGATTCACTACAAGGAAAATCCTTTTTTTTTTTTTTTTCATAGAATGGAAATACCACAGTAAATAACAGGAAAATAAAGGGCCTTTTTCATCAAAGAGTCACAGTGAGTTGAGGTTTTCCAGCTCTATCCAACCAGTAGGAGGAGAGATTCTTAAGAAGAGGATTAGCAATTGATGAGTTCTGTTGCTGGGCGCTGTAGTAATAACCTATGGAGCAGGGAGGTTCTGAATTCTATAGTGTTTTATAAACTGAAAACCATGCCTTTATTATGTTGTAAAGATGAAATAATGGACTACAGTGTCAGTTTTTCCTACAGAACAGACTACGTTCTCCGAGGAGTAGCTCCACTCACAACAACTGCCATGGTTGACATTAGACCCATTAAGCAAAGAAGAAGAACCTCGAACTTCTTAGAGAAAAGTCTTATCATCAAAGAGTAAGAGGTACAATCTGGCCAACTAAATCAGGTACTTTTTCATTTATTTCATTTACATAAACCTACTTGGACTCAAACCAGTCCATGCTTCCTACCAGGAAGAAAGGACTCAGAAAGATGCATCTTAAATTAGAATTAAAACCTGGAATTTTACTTGTATTGATTAGAAAAGTCACCATCATTTACTTATGAAAGGACTGCAAAATATGTATCACTTGCTTAATACAGTGGTAAAATTTGTGCATCAAGTTTTACTTATAATGAATCCTAAAGAAATTGTGTCCAAATCTATTTCTTAATACCAGAAATTATATTTCATGAAATGGGCATTAAAATGGTATTTCATAAAGCTTGCAAGTACTCTGGCCCCATTTTAAAATAATTCTTCTTATTAATAAGGTTTGTTCCTTTTTTTTTTATCATAAAGATATCACAAGAAATAGGATTTGGCCTTTATTAAAAAAATTAATTGCCAGTTGGGAAAAAACATTATTTTTTTGTTTGTCTGTTCCAATCATGCTCACCTCTCTCAGTCCCATGTACTATTTTTGGACTTTCCAGACTTGTATTAGATTTCTTCTGGGTATTGTGAATTTTGTAATATTTTTATTTTATTTTATTTTATTTTTATTTTTTGGTGGTACGCGCTCCTAGCGGGAACCGAACCTGGGACTCTCTGGTCCGCAGGCTGACGCTCAACCACTGAGCCAAACTGGCCAGGGCAACTCATTTTTTTTTTTTTATCCTCACCTGAGGACATTTTTCTATTTTTTGTTCAGGTAGAGTGGGAGGGGGAGAGAGGAAGAGAGAGAGAAACATCGATGTGAAAGGGACACATCGAGTGGCTGCCACCCACCCGACCAACCAGGGCCGGGGACAAACTGCAACCAAGGTACATGCCCTTAGCGGGAACCGAACCCGGGTCTCTCGGGACCGCAGGCCAACGCTCTAACCACTGAGCCAAACCGGCCAGGGCTGTAATATTTTAATAATAGTAACTAGAACTGTATACTTACATTTAATGTATATGACCCAGGCAAGAGAAGGAGGTAATACTCTCCAAATTTGTTGGTTTTATAGGGGCATATATGTCTTCTGTCTTGGACTTCTACAATTACATTGGGTAATGGGTTTCCCTTATAATCAAAAACTTGACCCTTGACACCTGTATGACAAAAATAATTCAATGTTAATAACATTTTATGGCATGTGAAAACATTTTCTTGTAATTATTTAAGTAAAATATGCCCAATATTTATTTATTAGCTGTTCTGAGTTAATAAAATGTTTGAGAAGGAAAACTTGTTCTTTAAAATTGAGATATAAGTGACATATAACATATTAGTTTCAGGTATGCAACATAATGATTTGGTATATTGTATATATCGTGAAATGACCACCACAATATGTCTAGTTAACAGGTTTTTTTTATGATGAGAAATTTTAAGATTTATTCTCTTAGCAAATTTCTAATTACAATATTCTTTTTTTAAATTTTCTTATTTGTTTTTGTTACAGATGTTTCTCCTTTTTCCCCCACTGACACCCTACTTCTCATCCCTCCGCCCCATCCCCAGCTTTGTTGTCTATGTCCATTGGTCATGCATGTAAGTTCTGTGGTTTATCTCTTCCCCCCAATCCCCCTTCCTCTGAGGCTTGTCAATCTGTACCCCACCTCTATGCCTCTGGGTCAGTTTTGTTCATCAGTTTGTTTAGTTCCTTATATTCCACAAATCAGTAAGATTATATAATATTTGTCTTTCTCTGCTTTGCTTGTTTTGCTTAGCATACTACTCTCCAGGTCTTTCCATGCCATCTCAACGGATAAGAGATCTTTCTTTCTTACAGCTGCGTAGTATTCCATTGTGCACATGTGCCACAGCTTTTTAATCCACTCATCTACTGATGGGCACTTGGGTTGTTTCCAGATCTTAGCAACAATACAGTATTCTTAACTATATTCACCATACTGGACGTTACATCTCCAAGACTTATGTATTTTAGAACTGGAAATTTGTATCTTTACACCACTTCACACATTTCTCCCACCCCTGCCTCTAGCAACTACCAATCTGTTCTCTGTGTCTCTGAGTTTAAGTTCAGGGTTTTTGTTTTTTAGTTTCCACATAAGTGAGATCATATGGCATATGCCTTTCTCTGACTTATTTCACTTAGCATAATGCCCTCAAGGTCCATCATGTAGCAAATGGCAAGATTTCATTCTTTTTATATGGCTGGATAATATTCCATTGTAAATATATACACGTTTTCTTTATTCATCCACTGATGGACAGTTAGGTTGCTTCCATGCCCTGGTTATTGTAAGTAATGCTGCAGTGAACCTGGGGCGCAGGCACCTTTTCAAGTTAGTGTTTTCGCCCAGAAGTAGAATTGCCAGATTATACAGTACAGTCAGCCCTCGTTTATCGTGGTTAATCAGTTCCAGACTCTACCGCGATAAATGAATTTCCCCAAAGTAGGATTCTTTATTTATACACAGCTGTCCCTCGTCACTTCATGCTTGGACTTTCGCAGTTTCACTCTATCACGGTGTTTTCAAATAGCATTTGCAAAATAGCCGCGCCCTGGCTGGTTTGGCTCAGCGGTTGGAGCGTTGGCCTGCGGACCAGAGTCCTGGGTTCAGTTCCCGCTAGGGGCACGTACCAAAAACATAAACAAATAAAAAAAATTAAAAAAGAAAAATAATCGCAAAAGTCGAACAGTGAAGTGGCGAAGGACAGTTGTAGTTCTATTTTAAGTTTTTGAGGAAGCTCTATGCTGTTTTCTGTAGAGACTGCACCAGTTCACATTCCACCAACAGTGTAAAGGGCTCCCCTTTCTCCACATCCTCACCAACACTTGTTATTTCTTGTCTTTTTGGTAATAGTCATTCTAACAGGTAGGTGTAAGGCAGTACACTTCACTGTGGTTTTGATTTGCTCTTCCCTGATGATTAGTGATGTTGTGCACCTTTTCATGTACCTGTTGGCTATTATTCTCCTTTGGAAAAATCTCTATTCACATCCTCTGCCAATATTTTTTTTTTAGTTAGATTGTGTGTGTGTGTGTGTGTGTGTGTGTGTGCGCGCGCGCGCTTCCTATCGAGTATGGATTCTTTAAATATTTTTAATAGTAACCCCTCACCAGATATATGGTTTGCAAATATTTTCTCCCATTCAGTAGGTTGTTTTTTAATTTTGCTCATGGTTTCCTTTGCTGTGCAGAAGCTTTTTAGTTTGATGTAGTCCCAGTTGTTTAAGTTTGCTTTTTCACCTTTGTTTTTGATGTCAGGTCAAAAAAATTATGACCAAACTGATGTCAAGGTGCCTACTATGTTTTCTTCTAGGAATTTTATGGTTTCAGGTCTTGCATTCAAGCCTTTAATCCATTTTGAGTTCATTTTTGTCTCTTGTAGGCAGCATCTGGATGAGTTATGTTTTTTGTTTAAAAAATTTTTTTTTTCTTTATTGATTTTAGAGAGAGAGGAAGGGAGGAGATAGAAATATTGATGAGAGAGAATACTGATTGGCCACCTCCTGCATGTCCCCACTGAGGATTGGTCCCACAACCTGGGCATGTGCCCTGACCAGGAATCAAACTGATGACCTCTTGGTGCATGGGTCGATGCTTAACCACTGAGCCACATCAGCCGGGCTCTTGTTGTTTTTTTTTTTTAATCCATTCATCCTCCAATGTCTTTTGATTGGAGAATTTTGTCTGTTCTGCTCTTGCTCTCTTCTTTATGATTTGATGATTTTCAAAGTGAGTGGTATGCTTAGATTCCTTTTCCTTTATCTTTTAGATATCTACTGTACATTTTTGCCTTGTGGTTACCATGAGACTTACATAAAACTACTTATAACACTCTATTTTAAGTTGATAATAACTTAAGTTTGAATGCATTCTAAAGCTCTACATCTTTACTCCTCCACCTATATTTGGTTTGATACCACAATTTACATATTTTTACCTTGTGTATCCATTAACAAATTATTGTGGTTGTAGTTATTTTTACCACATTTGTCTTTTAACCTTCATACTAGCTTTCCAACATTAGATTACTTTGAATTTTACTTAATATTTACCTTTACCAGTTATATTTATACTTTCACGTTTTCCTATACTTATTAGTGCCCTTTTGTTTTAGCTTAATGAAATTCCCTTCATATTTCTTGTAAGGCGAGTATTCTGGTGATAAAATCCTTTAACTTTGCTTGTCTGGAAAACTCTTAATTTCTCCTCCAATTCTGAAGGACAACTTTGCCAGGTAGAATATTCTTAGCTGGTAGTTTTTTTCTTTCACCACTTTGAATAAATCATGCCTCTCTCTTCTCACCTGCAAAGTTTCTGCTGATGATCTTATGGGTTCCCATGTAGGTAACAAGTTATTTTTCTCTGCTGCTTTAAAGATTCTCCCCCCTTAACTTCTGACACTTTAATTATAACATGTCTTGGTGTGGGTCTCTTTGGTTCATCTTCTTTGGAACTCTCTGCATTGTCTGGATCTGGATGTGTTTCCTTCCCCAGGTTAGAAAATTTTTCAGCCATTATTTCTTCAAATATGTTTTCTTCCCCCTTTTTTCTTCTCTTTCTGGGACCCCTATAATGTAAATGTTGGTCTGCCTCATCTTGTCTTGTTAAGTCCCTTAAGTGCTCTTCATTTTTCTTCAGTCTATTGTCTTTTTGCAGCTCAAGTTGGATAAGTTCCATTGTCCCATCTTCCAGTTTGCTGATCTTTTCTTCTTCTTCTAGTCTGCTGTTAAGCCCTTCTGTTGTATTTTTCAGTTCATGAATTCTATCTGGTGCTGTATTTTCTATCTTTGTTGAAATTCTCATTTTGTTCATGCATTGTTTTCCTGAGTTTGGTGAGCATCTTCATGATTGTTATCTTGAACTCTTTATCAGGTAAATCACTTACCTCCATTTCTTTTCATTCTTTTTCTGAGGTTTTATCTTGTTCTTTTGTTTGGAACATTTTCCTTTGTTTCTTCATTTCATTTAACTATCTGTGTTGGTTTCAAGTTGTACCAAGACCTGTGAGTATCCCAATTGGGAGAATCTGTCAGCACCTAGATTCCAGCTAATTGGAAGCCAGACCCTCAGGCAGCAGCTTTTAAAGTATGCAAACATACCTCTTTCAGAGGAAGACTTGGGGATGGGTGTGTCTGTCTGCTCCCACTACACTGGAGCGGGGGCAGAGATAGCCAATTAAGAACTGGTTTGTTTGTTTGCTAATATCCTATTGAATTCGTGAACACAAGACCTGCTGGCCACTAGAGCCAGGCAGTTAAGGTGACAGCCGCAGAAACTAAGGCTCCAGTGCACAGGCTCCTTTCTGGGAGATACTGGCAACTTGGAAGGAGGTGGAATGATGGTACCTACCCACCTCCATCTTTGAAGAATATTTCAGTAGGCACCTAGATGTGGGTTAAATTAGAAGCCTGTCCTTCAGGTTGAAGCTTTAAGACAAGCAAGTAGGCCTCTTTCAAAGGCTGGGCACTTTTCAGTTGACTGTCTCTGTGCTGGGCCCTGGGGGGACAGCCAGGTGAGTCTGTGAATCCTTTAAGAACTGTTTCTTAGTTTGCTACATATCTTTGTGGGTCTCATGAATGCAAGACCCATGGCTTTCAAAGTTAGATGTTTTGGGGGCTCATCTCTCCGATGCAGATCTTAAAAGTTGGGGTGCCAGGTGTGGGGTTCAAACCCTTCACACCTCAGGTAAAAGCTCAGATTTGGGAGTTCCTGACTGTGGGTTGCTGTACCCGGAATAAGGTTTATGGCAAGACTGTGTCTCAGCCTCTCCGATAGTTTCGATGTGGGTTTTTCTCATGCATTTGATGTGTGGGAGGTTCTCAGGTAGTTTTGGGGTTTCTTTCAGAGGAATTTGTTCCATAGGTAGCTGCAGATTTGGTGTCTGTGAGAAGAGGCTGGGGATGAACTGCAGATGAGTACATGCCCTTGGCTGGAATTGAACCCATGACTCATTGGTCCATGGGCCAGTGCTCTACCACTGAGCCAAACCAGCCAGCGTGGTAAACTTATTTTTAATGTAACTTAAAATACATTGATTAATAGGTTAAATATGTTGTTATATCAAAATGAGAATGCTAAACAACCTAAATCCATTACTGTCATTACTCAGTCCCCAAACTTTGCCCAGGCAGA